CTTGCGAGTATAAAATTCTACTTAAAACACAAATAACTATATTTTGGAAATGGAGAGCTGAACAAGCAAGGAAAAATATGGATCAACAAATATCTGTTTAATATACTAGTCATATTCCGATGTTTATAATAGATTGTTCAATAAATCTAACGATTTTTAGATAATTCTAGTGTAGAACAAATAGTCGTATCAACAAAACAACAATTATATCAGCAGAAATATTTATTACGGTACCGCGATAATAGAATGAAAATTCTCATCTAAGTTCGATATTTGAAAGAAATCTACATAGATGCTAATGCATTTTGTATTGCTTCGCCGTAAATTAATTCAATATCCATTAACGCTGCATACACAGGTAACTTCGAACACTTGTAAAACTGATGTAAACGATAAACCACAGTAATAAGAGCGCTATGAAAACCACAGTAATAATTACCTTACTTTCCAAATCGACCGTTTAGCTTAAATTATTTTCTAATAAATTGAAGCTTAACCCTATAAAATAATTAGCCTTAAAGTTTGGATTCCCATTAAAACGAACTTTTGACATTAATCCAAAAATTAATTCTACTTGATTTTTTAATGCCATAATCTTATCTGAGTCAGTAAACAAACATAACATACACTCGTATATTGTTCTAAATCGTACTGTGTTGTTTTTGAACATTTTGAAAATTCAAAATTCAACAGTTCCAGTCAAACGTACTAAATCTCAATTATTCCTTACTGGGTTCTTCGAATGTGTCTTACTCACATACAAATGTTGGTATTTTGTGGAAGCCTTATTTTATTTTCAATCCACGTAAAAAAGTTATACTCCTCAGAAACTCCAGTTTATGTTTCAACAAACTTTTCCTTAATGATACCCCAAAGTTAGTCTGCTTTATTAGACCGAAGTTTCAATGATTCGTATTATTATCTAAATCTAAAGTCATCGAAAGCAGCAACGCCTTATTGTTACTTTGTGTTTTGTCCAGGGAAAGAAAACTAGACAAAAACATACCAAGACTGAATTCTCACAAGATTTTTTATTTTTGTTTGTGTATGTTACGTGTGCCAAAAGTTATATTTTAGTTCAATTTGAACATAGAATAGTACCCGATATCTGTTCAGAAAATACACCGATGAGAAAATGGTAGTAGATTGATGTTCGTTTTTTTTTCTGAACAGACCCGTCTACACTGTAATAAAACAAATATCTGCTATGTTTATAGATTTCCATATAATATTTTCGTTAAATGAACGATATAATATTTTCGTTAAATGAACGTTAATAAAAGAAATATGGTACATCTCATAGTTATAACTTATTACTTTTATTTTAAATTGTAATAACAATATTTGAAAAGATGTCAGATTTTAAGGATTGTGTTAAAAACAAGATATTTAAAAAAAAATAAGTTGAGGTACAATGAAACGCCACAATTTTGCTTTCATTGTATTAAAAAAATAAATCTAATGTCAATATCCTCACTGATTTACGTTGTACAATTTATTTAATGGAACAAACAAACTGTGTAATTCCTATTTTCAGTAGACTGCTATTTCATTACAATAATAACATATATTTATTATTACGCAGCTTTGTGTACAACAAATTAAAATTATTACCGGCTAAATTTCTGTAATACCGCAAAAAATGGTCATCGCAGTTAAAATATAAATTCAATGCTATAGATAAATTTCCTTTCCATAGCTACTCATTACATTACAACGATTAAACAGTAAAGAATAATTTTAATACATGATCTTGATGTATGTGTACGCTATTCTCTACCTATATCTAGACTGTCCAAGATTGTTATATGACATACTATGTATAACGAGACTAGGAAAACACAGTGAAACACTTAAATCTGTAATTGTCCTGAGGATGTCACGATAAGTGACGAAACGTCGACAATTGAGAAAATTTGCTGTTTTTCTTTGAAATTTGGCCTCTAATCTTCCCACTATTGACAACAAACTGAATAATTTTAATGTTTTTGATATTATTTGTATTTAGCATCATTTCTAAAAGTGGATCTAATTATACTTATTTACGAAACGAATAAAATTATTTACTTGAAAAATTTATGACTAAGGTAGGCGAGATGCGTAGTTATCGCAATATGTATTTTTTAAGTCATATTGCAGTAAAATTAGATTTACTTACATATTGTGAGTTGATTACCACTGAATATGGAGTTTGATACAAGTGCAATTAAAAAAATAACTAAATAGAAACTAGCTTTTAGAAATAATATTTCTTAAAAGTAGGCGTTTTTATTTAAAAAAATACAATTTTTATGCTAAATACGTTATAAATCCGCTACAAAGTTGCTAGTGGGGTAAATTTTGTAAAAGCAAATTCATCAATCAAAAATACAGTGACGTAGCTGCTGATTAAAATATTTTACGTAATATCTACATAATTGTATATTCGCACACTGACTAACCTTGAGGTTAAAAAACGTCAATGTAACGATAAACACCTTAAACGAATTGGAATATTAAAAACCCGCTTTAGAAAATCGTAGTAAAGCTGTTACAGAATGGAATATTTATGAGAGATGCTCTTTTAGGCAGTCAAGGGTGACAACTGGCTAATTATCATAAATATTAATCCCCAACAAATTGGTGATAAATTCAACTTTCTTAAATTGACGAAGGATGGAACTGTTTACTATTAACATTCATTTCTAGTGTTTATGTGTTTATTAATATTGTATTAATTATTTTGCAATGCACAGAATTTGGTTACACCTTGGCAAAATTAATATTTCTAGAAGTAATTTTTAGTATCAACTGACACTAGTGACTGTATTTTTAGTTACAATAGAGGGAAGCAACAAATGATTTGATCAGTGCTGGATCAAATGACAACTTAATCAAATTGAAACTTAATTGAATAATTTTTAAAGCAAGAAATACATTTTGTTTCCATGAACTTTTCCTAATGTGTACACAAATCATTATTATCGAATAAGTTGGGGAATTATTACAGGTATAAATTCATTTTAACCTGACAGGCATTAAGATAATATTTGTCAGCTGTTTGGAGAAAGATAAACGTGTATAATTAATGTCTGAATACGTGTTAATGTCATGAAATTCGGAAGTAAATGTTTGGATTATGGTATTGGCAGCAACTTTTAATAAATTTACGTTTTCACGAAAAAATAGGTTTATTATAGAGCGACAAATAAAGGGTTTCAGAAATAATTATTAATTCAACTGGACGAATCATACTGTTTCTAATTGTACCTACACCTAACCATGTACAATAAATGTAATTTTGTTTAAAATTATAGGGTTGTGTTGAAATGAACGAGACAAAAATTAATTTTGTGTTTGGTTGTCAATGTTACAAGCAGAGTAATTTTTATTTTGTACTATGCAGATACTTTTCTTAACATATTTATGTTTAGTATGGTATTTAATATGACAATTGAAATGGGATTTTCCAGCAAATAATTTGGTACGTTAATAGTACTAATACTTTTCTTGGAATTATAAAACAGAAAACGATAAAAATGTTGATTAAATTCTTGAAATGTTTTGACATAGGTTCGCAATTACATCTTAATAAAGTGAAATTTCTAGAGGTAATACAAATCTTGTAAACACTGAATAATATAGTCACTAACTATTAGAAATTTTGCAAAAAAAAAAGGAGTTTTATATATCACATTTAAAATTATATGTTTTTAGTATTAATTAATAAGGAAGACATTTATAAATATACTTTGTACTCCAATCCATAAGGGCCAGTCTTTTAGTTTCCGACTAAAATATTCTAAATAAATGAGGAACACCTTATATTTTTTATCTATCTAGAGTGCGTGGAAAATAGTCACTTTATTTTACATATTTTTGCATTTACAACCAAATAGCCAAAAACTGTTATATATACACGCTCAGAATTATATGGATAAAAATGAACATATTTCATACCAATTTTGTAGCTGTAATAGAGTTTGTAAGGACCAGTATAGCCTTTATAATTATATTATTTTAACAAATTTTTGCAGATTGTTGTTTACAATTATTTACTACTCGGGACAGTATTTTTTCTTTTTTTAAGAATGGAATATTTACAGAGATAGCACTCGCTTCTGTTTTGCTTAAAAATAAAAAATGAAGAGCTTTTGAGATAAATGACCTTCACAGTACTAAAGGCAATAGTTCGACTTATCGTCAGTAAAAATTTGGAATATTTTTATAAATTAACAAACAAATTATGACGAGTTAAAGTGAGAGGTATCAATTTTGTGGGCAGAAAACCGTGATTTTTTCAACATTTTCATTAATAACTAAAAAATGAGATAACGAAACTAACTGAAATTTTAGCACACAATAGAGTAATAGTGAGACTGTATATGGTCCAAATTTCAAATTATTTTGCAACTACGTTTTCTTAATATCGGTTTCCAAACTCAGGGGTCTATTTCATTTATTTCGATAGTAGTCAGTTCGGATATACAGACATATTCGTTGTCCAAATTTCAAAGAAAAGCTTACGAAATACTATTTTTCTGATTAAGAACGTTTTTTGAACGATAGCAAAAGTTCACATTTTCTAAAATTTTAAAGGCATATCTTTAAAAGTGTAGATCTCAGATACCACATCTACGAACCCTTTACAATTCAAAAGAATTTTTCATTAAAAAAAATTATTAATTAATACACAACAATATTTTCAGGATTATGATATGTACCTACTAAATCAAAACAAAAACTTTTGAGAACTTAAGAGAACTTTTAGCGTTTAAACAAAGCAATAGGAGAGAAGCTTACCAAATGTGTGTTACCGATTTCAAACTTTGTCAGTAAATTTTAGCGAAAATCTTAACGTTTGGAGTTCTACTCCCAAAATTTAAATGACACCCCTTCAAAAACAAACAAAAACTCTATAACCACCACTATCGCGTTCGAAACGTATCTCATTTCCTGGACAATCATTCCACCATACAAATACCAACCAAGGAACCCTTATCATGCTGTATACAACTCACTTTTAGTGTGTCTTCCCCTGCATAGAGTGACGATGGTTCGCGTGAGAGCAGTCCACATGTCATCGCGGTTCTGCGGGCGCACAACGCGTACAATCCATAGCACACTGCGATACTGGCGGCCGACGCCGCCGATGGGCGTCGCGGAACGTCTTGATAAGCGACGAAACATGCGTGCGCGCTCGCGTTTTCGCTTAACGCTCCTCGCGCCCTACGAACTCTTATTAACCCTTTTCTGGCGGATTAAAGGTAGACTAGAGACAGATAGCGGATAAATCGCGGTCAGATTGGGGTCAGGGAGTAATAGTCCCGTCTTTTGTTTGCGGCGAAAAATATGGGTGTGTAAATTACACAAAATTTAAGTTTCAAAAGTGAAAATTAATACATCGACATAGGGCGAAAATTAAAAAAAGAGCTCCGGCATATTCAGGTTTGGCGATCTAGGTAAAAAATGACTTTATACTCTCATTGCTAAAATAAAGTACTTTATCTATCGTTCTTACGTCGCTGTTTGTATTAATATCCTACAATGTACGTATATTTTTAGCTCTAACTTAATTGATTTAAAAATAGGAATTTTATTTCAATATTATCACATTTCTACAAACACAAAGTAAGATAAGAGGGCTTTGTTCCTAAGAACAAACCAACGTTTGCCTTAGTAAATTTTCCATGTAAGATTACTTATCAACAATGTCGATGCGGTTGCCTTTGCCAAGATCGGAACATTCTATTTCTGTTTTATATTGAAAACGTGCTTATAAATATTTTCAAATAACTTTGGCGTCGTCGAAAAGATAAATTATGCATCCGATTTCTTGCCAGATAATAAAACTCCCGTGAGTTGTCTGTAATTAAAGTAAATATAAGCACCGCTAATTAAAACTAAATATAAATTGGCTACGCTTATGTTTCCAGAGCGGAAATTCTTGTCAATTTACGCTAAGTTATTTTTAAATGCACAATAGCATTTCAGCAGTGTCGATACCACTTTAAAAATGAAGATGAGTTTACTGTCATCTTTTTTATTTGTTTCTTTCTGAGAAATATGACAAAAATTATTTCTCAAAAAAAATCTTGTCAAAAAACCGCAATATCATAGAAACATTTAAATTTTGTTCTTTGCAAATGCAGTGTTTGGTTTCAAATCTTTCGATAATAGCACATTTCCCGTTTAAGAAAATCTCATAGGCAATGTTTGCTTCTAGAAATTCCCTCATAAATTGGCATCCTTTGACTCGTCTTCATTTCGAGTTGCACTTCGAAAATGAGCCATTACAGTAAAGGCATCTTGTTCTGAAGTAAAAGACATGCGTTCATGTAACCTTTATCTCGAGATGCAGCTAATTGGCTGACTTTTGCTAGCGAATGGTTATGTTTAGTTCTCCCTTCTCTCTCTGTCCTTTGTAGTTACTTCTCTGTTGGTTATAGTTCTGCATAAAACTAGTTCAAGGCTATGGTATATACAGGGTGTTTTTAAATGAAGTAGCAAAAATTGTACCAGTGAATGTAGAGCCAAAAATAAGAGGATTGAAGTAAAAATACCTTATATGAAAGTTGCACCCCTGAGGCGATATACCCTCTTAAAAGAGGGGATTGAAATTTACGTTTTAATTTTTTTCTTTAACATGGGGAACGCTAGAGACACGAAACTTGGTATGAGCATCCTACTAATAAAGAGACAACTTTTCAATATTTGTTCGATCATTGGCGTATTTTATAAAGGAGTGAAACAGTCAACCCCATTGCAATATTTTATTAGAAATTTTTTATATGAAGCAAATTATTTATTTAAAAATATTTGTTGCGAAAACTGATTTATTGCGCAATTTTTTTACCTCTTGTAATTGTTCGATAAAACAGATAGTTTTCTAGTAAAAAAATTAAATGCGTCATCGTTCACTAAAGGGGTAATTGCGAAAATTTGTAAAAATAAAAATGCGGATGTCATAACAAATAAATTGTTATTTATCATATTAAAAATTGATACTTTCCGTCGATAAGCTGGTAATTTAATAAGACATTAAGAATAATTTGCTATTAATTAATGAAAAATGTTTGACAAAATATGACTATGGGAAATGTATTAGGTAAAGTTATTTATCTGAAATAAAATTTAATACAAACGAAAAACAAGAAATGCAAAATTAAATTTAAAGAATATTCTCGAAATAATTTCCATTTTGCTGGAAGCATAACCTAATATACGTCTGTTAAAGTTATAACGCACTCGCACAAACAGTTCTTCTAAGATACTCGGCCGCTCCAAGCCTGTGTGGATGAATAAAAGGACCTACTAGAGTATTTCCTACAATTCCAATCCAAACGTTTAAACTGAAATTATGTTGGCATCTTGAAACAAATATTTCATGGGTATTTTCTTCCGACCATGAATGAACATTATGAAGATTTACTGCACCTACTCTAGGAAAATTTGCTTCATCGGTGAAAAGTATATTCATTGGAAAATTTAAGTTATGACTGGAAATATTAATGTACCATTGACAAAAATCCACGCGGTTAGGTAAATCAGGGTCATTCAATTCTTGCACGGGTTGATGGTGAAAAGGGTATAAAAGATTTTCATGAGCTACATTCCACACAAGACTGTGAGAAACTTGCAGTTGCCTGGACACCTGTCTTGTGCTTGTACCATAGTCTTGTTCTAGATGTTCCAGTATAGCTGCCTCAGTTCAACAGTTCGGACATTATGCCTTCTTCCGGCACCCTCACGATTGGGCTGAATTTTATCAGTTTCGCGAAGCCTTCTTTCCACCGAGGCCAATGTTTGTCTATGAGGAATCGGTCGGTTTGGATATCTTTAGTGGTATAATCTTACTGCAGCGTTACTATTTAAGAGGGTATATCGCCTCAGGGATGCAACTTTCATATTCACTGAGACTATTTTTGCTACTTGTATTCCACATTATTTCAAACATTAAAAACGTGCGCTATATCTGAAGTTATTCCGATAAAAACTGCCGGTATGAGAATCCTGGATTTGGGTTAGACTAACACATTTCCCTAATCCCACGGGACGCCGAAGAAGGGGAAAATCAATTCGACATTCAGATCTACGACTTCCCTAACTCGAAGAAAGTGCAATTACGCCTCGCGCCTGTCACCAGGGGAAATGTGTACCTTTCGGGAACGGGAAAATCATAAATAATAACGCGAAGTCTTATGAATTCTCAATCGCAACAAACGAGTACAGTTGGATACCGAAGAAAGGAATCGTTAATGGAACGGAGCGAAGGCGAGATGGCGAATAATATGCAATAATAGCTAATGGCGCGACTGTAACTTTGATAAATGATGTATGTACATTTTTGTCGGTTTTTGTTGAATATGCAGACGCCTGAGAATAAAAAGTTAATAAACGTTGGTTTTGCGTTTCCTGTTAATTCACTCTACCAAAAAATTGTCCGCGTATGCTGTTCCATTCATTTAATGAATGAAAGCACTCAGGGGAAATTTTTTTACATTACCTAAAGTTTGTTAGTTCAAACAGGGTGAAATTTGCGACCCCTTTTTTATGTCGCGTTGTAATATATCTACCCTAATTAAATTTAAAAGGATTTTATCCAGTCCAACATTAAAAGAATATACATTCGTACTCTGGTAATTGGTTTTTCTCCGGATAAGAAACAGGACATTATTTTCCAAATATATACACAACAATATTTACTTAACAATCCTTTCTCAGTATATGTGTAATGTTAGTTATAAATTTGGATACTCTAATTTCAAAAATCGTTATTTATTACGAGATTTTAAAAATATTACAAGGGTTCCATAAATTATAAAGAAACAGAAGGTGTATCTTAAAAGGCCATTCATATTTACCACTATGCAACCAACAAAGCGTGCTGGTAAAATTAAACAGGTGTATATCTGGTTGCATACAATTAGGAGTTAACAACACCAGATATTAGCTTTATTATACTATGCTTCTATATCTTAAATACTGCATACATTTATCGTATTTTATGTGTTTGACCTTATTACAGAGACGAAAGGAAGATTTTTAACCATTCAGCAAAGTGATAAGAATGCAAAGTAAGTTCAATTAAAACATAATTACCATAAATTTTTGAGGAAAGTTCATGCACCAAAACGAACGTTTTGGTGGACTGATTGCCAAAAATAAGTAAATGTAGATAGATAGTTAAGTAAAATATGAAACAATTAAAAAAGGGAGTTACAGATAATCTCAGAGTTAAGTTTTTGTTGGCGATGGAACGTGTTCAAAGTTTTCAAGAACGTGATTCTGTATAAGGTGATAAAAGTCTTCTAATCTTCATACAAACTGCATATTATAAAACCACCACGTATGTTGAAACACCCTACCCAAATTAACTTTGGTAAGTGCTGTTTCTGGCGACATTATCATTTAACTATATACGTGCTACTGCTCTTTTTATTATGTGTTTCATTCATTTTCTCTTTACCTAAGCATTTTAGCAGAATAGAAACAATACTTAACAGACATGGACAACGGACGCTACTGAAAAATGCGCAAATGTCAATTTAGTGTCATCGGTCATAAATAATATATAATAATATAAATACGTTTATAATAAGCAGTAACAAACCATTGAGTTTACACTCGAGATAATCCCATCGCTAATTGGTTGAATGAAATGTGAAGAATTACACCAATCATCTGGTTCCTTGCGCAAAATTTGATGTGACTGATCTCACTAGACCTGTTGTATTCGTATCCTAATGCTGTGGCAGTGCACACATTATGCTAGGGAACACGAAATTAGAAAGTCTATTTCAGCTCTCTTTTTTGAGGCTCAGACAAATGCCCAACAGATAAATCAAACAGAACCATTAATTAAGCTCAGAGAGATGCATCCGACTATTACCTGGGTACAACGCGTATCCGCGTCCCATCAATAACATGCGGATGCGTACGGTTTGTGCCTTCCGAGGTAAATGCCCATACCTAATAATATTAGTTTCCGCTATGCACTTTGACCTTCGGCAACTAGTTTTTTGCGGCTTCGCATGGGGCGTAATTGAGCTTGCATAGAATCTTTAGTGGCTATGTGAAATAGGCCTGCCATAATGAGGTTGTTACTTGAAAT